CTAGATCCACCATGGATCTAAAGGTCAAATCTGGTCACATATGGCTGTCAACAATGACCAAAGATATGATCGTCGTTGACGACCAAATGTGGCTAAAGATCTGGTATTTTTGGTCAGATCTATGGTAGTGCGCCATTATGCCAGATTCTGGCCACCTTCTGGCGGTGGTGGCTAGAATCTAGCAAATGTGGGTGGGTAGGGGTGTTTTTGTCAATTTATAAACTTTTTTGTTGAGAGTGTTTAGTTAAATTAACAAATATACAGGGGTTTAAAAATGACTGGATATAATAGGATTGGATTTTGAGAATATGGAACAAATAGCATTTTCAGTATGATAGGGCAAAAAAAAAAAAAAAAAAAACAAACAGGCCTGAGAATTGAGTGAGAGAAATGGAATGAGATTATCTTGTTTACTAAGAGTAGGAAATAGAATGAAAGATACCATATATGAACAAAATATCCTTAAATTTAGATAATTTTATGTTCACGAAATAGTATATTAACAAATTATTTAGAAAAGAAAAAAATTATCCAAGCATTTAGAGTATTTCATGATTAAAATTAAATATTATAAGTCATCTTTGGTCATCGACAATGAATAACAATTAATGGTGGTGAATGAGGATCAACTAATATTAACATTTTATAAATATCTATTTTAATAATCATTTACGGCATATATATTCTAGTAATTAGATATATATATACAGGATAATTATGTATTACTTATAATTTGTAATGACATTCTTGTAAACTTAATGTGTATGCTCTTAGGCCGGGTTGGGTATACAATTGCCATCTCCACCATCAAACAGAGATATTATAGTAATTGTAATTAATTATACAATATTTTCCTCCATGAACAGAGGAATAAATATTCTCTCATTGGGTTTCTTCAACTTTCTTTCCAATCAAACATCATAAATTCTCACCTAAATTCTACAAAAATCTATATTGAATATCTTAGTACCTTATATTCAAATGAATTAAAATTGTTGTACAACTAATAAGGCCAGCCAACTACATGTGGTTACCTTCTTTTCGCTTTGATCATTTGCAAGTTTCTTTCTCCTTCTTTCTGTACTTGTGTAAGCAATCATTAGAGCCGTTGATCGAAATTACAGAGCATAGTTGTTAAAATTATTAAGACATGGCGCTTGCTGATTGGTTTAAAGGTGGAAACACAATAGTTTTGAATGTAGATGAACAAAACCCGAGTAAAGTTTATCTCAAATTCCTAAAAGAGAATCCAAGTCCAGTAAAGCAAAGCGTAAAGAACATTTGCCAAGTCCCAACACGCTGTCCAATCCATTCTCAAACCTTACTTTTCACATGATTTTTCATTCCCACGCGCGAGATCTTTTAATTATGTATATACTCGCTCTTCCTGCACGACATATCATTGAATAGCACCTGAATTGTACAATCATTTCGAGTCTTGATAATCTACACTATGGTGAGCCAACTAAACCTGTACCTCAAGCTACCCATCAAAGGACCAATATATGTATATATATAATTAAATCAAATAAAAAGTAATTTTTAAATAGGTATTGTTAAGAAAGATTTATTAACAAGTATCTATATGTGACATACTTTTAATATCTTTATAAAAAATAAAATTTGAAATGGACAATTTATTTTTCTGTTTTCTAAGACAAGAAATATGATGTGATTTTACTGTTTTTTATTTAAATTTTGTTATAATATAATATATACTTTTAGATGATAATACAAAATACGATATTAAAATAATATTTTGAAAGAATCCTTAACGTATTGCCACTTCATATACAAGATTATAAATTAACAAATAAATTAATAAAGGGTTAAATGATTGAATACCCATTAAATGATATGTGAAATCCATTTTTGTAATTTGATCAAGATTGAAGTTATAAATCAAAGATTAGATATGAATTAGGGACACGTGTCACGCAAAGAAAAGTGAGAAGATCTCTATGGGTGACGGGTAGTGACGGTAAACAAAAGCGGCCTTCAAAAACTCGTTTGAGCAGCTTTAGCTTTATATGAAGGCGGCGCCGAACCTACTTATGTTTCAAGCGATAATAACAATTCCATCCCTGATATTTATTCCAATTATTTACTCAAGTGGAATTTTTTCTCAATGTTTTAGTCCAAATTTAGGGGTTAGTTTTTACGAGCTTTATAAACTCTAAAATTAAATTAACTTATTTATTTACAACTTTTTTAGGCTTATAAATCAAAAGATATAAGTACAGGGAGGATACTTGGTATATTACCATATTACTTATTTTTAATTTTAAAATTCTATCATATACCCTTATTTTTAATAATGTAGTATCATTTTTAGTCGTTTTAATAATAAAATATACTTATAAATTATATTTTATAAAAAACGTCAACTACTTATCAACCACTTATAAGTATTTTAATCAAATGTGTAACTGTTTATAAACTCAAATTAGTTTATACGTACTAACTGCTTATAAGCTAATTTTAATAAACTCGGCCAAACATGTTCTAAGAGTGGACAAATTCAGTATAGTTTGGTTTTTTAATAAAGTCAAATTGTACTATACAAGAAATTAAAAAAAAAAAAACTATATCATCCTATATTAGTTCAGAAATCGAACAAAAAAAATTATTTGGTACAATTCAATTTTATCGGCTTTTAATTGGAAGCTTTTTGAGATTTTGAGGGCTTTTTTTATATATATTTTGTAAGGGGTTTTATGCTATTTTTTAGAGTTTTTTTTTTTTAATTAATTTCAGGGGTATTTTTTAAAAATTGAAAAAAAAAAAAGAAAGGTTCAATATGTACAGTTCAATTCGAATAAACTAAGAACTGAAATCTGTATCACACTATATGGTTAATTTTTCTAAAACAGTAATACTACATTTATAAAGAAATCTTACAAAGATCTACATATAAAGTGATGTGTCAAAAAATGAATAAAAGAGTGTAAGTTTGACTTTTTATTTCACTTTTTTATTTATTTTTTGTCACTTCACTTTATATAGAAATTTTTGTAAAGTTTTTTTGTAAGTATAGTATTATTTACAATTTTTTTGTCCACCCTTAACTAAATACTATTAATATTGTAATAAGGATGAACATGTTACTAAAAAAATCTTCTGGATTAAAGGGATTCAAGCCAACCCTGAGGGATGAATTTTAATTCCCCGAATCCATCTCATCCTATCCGTCCAATCTTTAACCTAAGTATAATTTATGGGACTTTGCTTCATTACGTTTATATATGATACTTCACTATCTTATCTTTAAAAAAAAAAAAAAAAAAAAAAAAAATATATATATATATATAATATATAATTTCATAAATTTAATTTATTTTATTTATTTAAAATATTAATAATTATCTTTTTGGTAAAATAACTGAATTTAACTTTCTCAAAATATTATTATAAAATACATCAGAATGGTAACCAAACATAATGCCATTCATTTTTTCTCAAATTTTCTTCAACATCTAAACATAGACCCGGAATATTTGCAATTATTTTTTGTCATTTTAATGCTAATTTCTCATTTAGAAGGTTTTTATCATTTACAAAAACACCTCATTTTAAACCACAAAATAAAATTCCCTTTATTTAAAGAAACTATAATTTGTACATCCATCAGACAATTAAAATATATGATAAATAGAAAGAGACGTATTAAATAAAAAAGATTAGAGAAGTTCATAATATATGGTAAGAGTATGGGAAAAAAGTAGTAAGTTGTTATTTGTTGCAGTTAGAAAAGCTTAATGATAAAGCTATAAAGGAAAAAGAGCTGCCCACACCCCCAGTACTAATTTCACTCTCGTTTCCATTTCACCCTCTCTTTCTCTGTCTCTTTATATTTTCAAGTCAATTGCTTCATTATACTCAAATGCTGAAGCTATTTAGGGTTTATCAGTTCTTTCTTAATTTTCTTAACGTCGTTTCCATGTTCCTCACTGTCTTCACTGGTACGTCGTCGTTTTGCTTTTTTTTTTTTTTTAATTATTGTGTGATGTTTTGATTTGTTAATTATTTGTGTTTGTTATTTTAGATCTTTGTGTTAAGTTTTCTTTTAACAGTTTGGGATCTGGAAGTGCTAGAATTTTATGGTTGTAAGTTGCTTTGGTTCTTCAAGTTCTGTTTGGTTGATGAGAAAATAAGCCAGGATCAGGGTAAATTAATGAAGTTGAAAATTTTTAAGTTTGTTATCGTTTGGATTTGCAGTACTGGAGTTCATTTGTATGTAAACAGTTAAATAAGTAGCATTAAGCTTTGAAAATTTTTCTTGCTACTTTATGCTGTGGCCTATAACAGAAAGAGGATTGTATAGTGAGAAAACAGATTGTTTGATGTTGAATATCTTGGTTTTTTGAAATAATTAGAGAATAATTTCAACATTCTGGTTGTTTCATTGGCTTTTTTTTTTTTTTTTTTTTTTTTTTTTTTTTTTTTTTTTTTTTTTTTTTTTTTTTTTTTTGCATTTGCTTCATTTGAGCAAACTTCAACTATGGCTGTACTATATTTTCATTTGAGCATATGTTTGAAAGTGTGTGAATTGGGCTGCTGGAGTTGCATTTTGAAATCTTGTTGAAATATGTTTGACTGGGTATCTATTGATAGAGGAATTATGTCACAATTCGGTATGGATGTATGATGTGAGACTGAAATTGTTCAACATTTACTGTAAACTTAGTATGCAAGTTCTAAATGTTTCTGGACGAGGTATTATATGTTTTGTTGGCCCAAAGATTGTCTCAACAAACTTTGCATATGGATCATGTTTTTAGTTTTATTGTCTGTAGTATATTAGTTTTCAGGCACTATTGGTTTTTGTTGGTTGTTCGATCCTTTTTTTTTTTTTTTTTTTTTTTGGGGTTGCTTTGCTCTATATTTAATCACATCTTTAAAAGTTAATGATGCACTATTAGGTTTTTTGTTACCTTGAGATTTTGTTGTTTTGCAGAGTAGCAAATGATGCAGTATCAAGTTCAAAGTTGTTACGAACTCCGGCATTTCTTTTAGTTTTTCTCTTCTGTTGAGTAAATGTATGTTTAATTTATACCAAAATATAGAAAAATGTGCTGATGCAGTGGTTATATTTTCGATCATATTTGTTACATGATTATTACTGGTCTTGTTTCTAGCAGCGTTTTGTGTTTCTTATCATCTGGTATGAATATATTTTGTTTGGAAAAATAAATTTGTGATTCTGAAATTGGAAAATCACTCCTGTAAAAAGACAATGTTAAAGGAGGAAGTTTTCATTCAATATGTCCTTTATCTACTTTAAGTTTGTATAATGTTGAATTTCTGTTGTATATTATGGATTCTCTCTAAAAGAACTCCAACATTGTGTATGCTGCCATTTCTTATTATCCTTATGTGTTTCCACATTAAGTTACATACTTAATCCATGATTTTTGTAGTTTCAATGCATGTTTGTTTGCTTTGATTTTTGAGTTACCCTGCAGTTTTTATAAGAGATATTGTGATGATTACGTGAACTTGTGAGTGATTCCCTACAACTATGACAATGTCTTCTGGAAATTCAAAGATTGATCACTCCTTTATATTTACTCGATATTTGAAGGGCTTTTTGTGGTCTTTTTTAGGAAAATTTTGATGGTTACACTAAATTATGAATGGTGTTGCTCAACTGTGAGATTACGTTCTCAAAATGCTAAGATTTGTTACTGTTATTATGTTCCATGTTTGTTAAAAAACCACTGAACCCGAAGGCTTATAGTGTGCACTTTCATGTGGAACTGTGGAACAAACACTGTCACAACAACAAATGCTAATATAACCGCTAACTTTTTTATTGTAATTTAATTAATACAATCGAGGGATTAGAACATGAGACCAATTAGTCAACTTGGTTATAATACCTTTTTAAGAATTTGGTTTAACTCAAAAGCCTAAGTTGACAGGTAACTGGCTCAACTATGGTATTTAAGCACTAATACTGAGATTAACTATACATGGGAGTAGCTGCAAAGGCAATCTAGTTTTGGTTAGGAATCCGGAGGCATGGACAAGGCAAGCTCGATAGGCAATTTTACATGCTCGAGAGAATCTAAAGGATGATTTCATTCCATGTTATGGATGCTTAAATTATGATATTCTTTATGCTTGTCTGAGCTGCTGTTCAAATAACTAAGATTTGGTGGACAATATGTCTGTTATCAATCTTTCTGCTTTACCAAATCTTTAGCTTACAATTGACATTGTTCACCCTTCTGTTTCACTTTGTTCTGTAATTGTGCTTGGATCATTAACAGTCATGCTCTTACTTTCTGCTCGATTTTTATCTTCAGTGACAAACAAAAGATGGCATCTGAGCTTGTTAATTCTGCAACGAGTGAGAAACTTTCTGAAGTGGATTGGGCAAAAAATATTGAAATTTGTGAATTAGTTGCTTGTGACCACAGGTATAACTTGTGGAACACTTTCTCGCTTTTTTTTAATCAGAAATGAATACATATAATGTTTATGTATGGTTTTGGTTCATTCTCATTTTTGCCTATTTATTTTCAACTGGTTTTGTTGATGAAATAGGTTTGGTTACAAGAGCTCAGGCTGAGTTTATACTGTGCCTCAGCTTGTAATATCTTTCCTAGCTTGGTTTTTTGAACTTTTGAGTATCATGCAAATAATTTTGTTATAAAGCTGTCTAAAGCAAAAATGTTCATCTTTATGTTGCGCAGTTTTGTGGTTACGCATGCTTGCTCTGGTTTTTGGACAACCAAATATCCAATTTCTCTTGTTGAGTTGTTATTGTAATTTCCTTGACATGGTTTTGTGGTTTCTTACAATTCAGGCAAGCTAAAGATGTGATCAAAGCCATCAAAAAACGCTTGGGGAGCAAAAACTCAAACACTCAATTATATGCAGTTATGGTGAGCTCTTGCTTTTTGTTTTGCTATATTCGTGGAGCCTTGATATTTACGTATTAAATAAAAAAGATTAGAGAAGTTCATAATACAGTAAAACTTCTCTATAGTCATAATGTTGAGACTAATTAATTTTATTACTATAAAGAGGTTATAATTTAATGGAAGTGTAGTTACAAAAATTATAGTTTTGATTTCTTATTTTATAATTCATGTTTTAGTAGTACAGTAATAGGATTTCAATTCATATTTTAGTAATATTAGAATTTCAATACAACGTTTCAATTGCCTACTTTTGAAATGGATAAAAGATAGTTTCTTAGAACCAACAAAAATAAGTGTCATTGATGGAATTGTAAATATAGTTGATGCGTGATCAATTGATGTGAAGCCATTGACAATTGTCAATGGTTTTAAGCGCTACAAAATAAGGACCACTAATGTCAATGAATGTAAGTTATAAATAAAGTGGATGAGAAGAATAAAAGAGTCACTATAGAATTGAGTGATCAGATTCGACAAATTCACTATACTGATTGAATGGATATTAATGTCTTCTTCGATTATCCAAATGAACAACAAATCTTGTATACTTTAACCAAATGAGAAATCATTGTTGCAATTAGACAAGAAGAGAAATGAAATAATCCTAAGGATAATAGTACGAAAATACAAAAAGTCTTATATCATGAGGCTCTAAACATGCTTGAGAAACTAAAAATATTTTGGCTTCAACAAGAAAGTATCAATGCTAACGAGTTATTACGTACTCATAAGGTAAAAAATGTGATAACAACTCTAAAATATAAATCATTATTCTAAATAATTTTAAATAAATATTTTATTTCATTTTAAACCTTTAATTTTACATAATATATATTTTTTTGTAATATATAGATAATTATTACTATGTAGAGACAACTTTTCTTAAGGTGAGAATTAGAAAAATTATAACTTATTACAATGTAGAATTTATTTTTATTTATAACTATCATAAATTGAAACTAAATTTTTTTATGATTATATAGAGTTTATTCCTATATAAAATATAATTATAGAGAGGTTTTAACGTATATGATAAAGTTTGTGAAAAAATTAGCAAGTTGTTATTTGTTGCAGTTAGAAAAGCTTAATGATAAAGCTATAAAAGGAAAAAGAGCTGCCTACACCCCCAGAACTATTTTCACTCTCGTTTCCATTTCACCCTCTCTTTGTCTGTCTCTTTATAGTTTCAAGTCAATTGCTTCATTATACTCAAATGCTGAAGCTATTTAGGGTTTATCAGTTCTTTCTTAATTTTCTTAACGTCGTTTCCATGTTCCTCACTGTCTTCACTGGTACGTCGTCGTTTTGCTCTTTTTTTTTTCTTTTTCTTCATTTTTTTAATTATTTGTGTGATGTTTTGATTTGTTAATTATTTGTGTTTGTTATTTGAGATCTTTGTGTTAAGTTTTCTTTTAACAGTTTGGGATCTGGAAGTGCTAGAATTTTATGGTTGTAAGTTGCTTTGGTTCTTCAAGTTCTGTTTGGTTGATGAGAAAATAAGCCAGGAAGTCAGGGTAAATCAATGAAGTTGAAAATTTTTATGTTTGTTATCGTTTGGATTTGCAGTACTGGAGTTCATTTGTATGTAAACAGTTAAATAAGTAGCAGTAAGCTTTGAAAATTTTTCTTGCTACTTTATGCTGTGGCCTATAACAGAAAGAGGATTGTATGGTGAGAAAACAGATTGTTTGATGTTGAATATCTTGGTTTTTTGAAATAATTAGAGAATAATTTCAACATTCTGGTTGTTTCATTGGCTTTTTTTTTTTTTTTTTTTTTTTTTTTTTTTTTTTTTTTTTTTTTGCATTTGCTTTTGAGCAAACTTCAACTATGGCTGTACTATATTTCATTTGAGCATATGTTTGAAAGTGTGTGAATTGGGCCTGCGAGTTGCATTTTGAAATCTGTTGAAATATGTTTGACTGGGTATCTATTGATAGAGGAATTATGTCACAATTCGGTATGGATGTATGATGTGAGACTGAAATTGTTCAACATTTACTGTAAACTTAGTATGCAAGTTCTAAATGTTTCTGGACGAGGTATTATATGTTTTGTTGGCCCAAAGATTGTCTCAACAAACTTTGCATATGGATCATGTTTTTAGTATTATTGTCTGTAGTATATTAGTTTTCAGGCACTATTGGTTTTTGTTGGTTGTTCGATCCTTTTTTTTTTAATTTTGGACTTGCTTTGCTCTATATTTAATCATGTCTTTAAAAGTTAATGATGCACTATTAGGTTTTTTGTTACCTTGAGATTTTGTTGTTTTGCAGAGTAGGAAATGATGCAGTATCAAGTTCAAAGTTGTTACGAACGCCGGCATTTCTTTTAGTTTTTCTCTTCTGTTGAGTAAATGTATGTTTAATTTATACCAAAATATAGAAAAATGTGCTGATGCAGTGGTTATATTTTCGATCATATTTGTTACATGATTATTACTGGTCTTGTTTCTAGCAGCGTTTTGTGTTTCCTATCATCTGGTATGAATATATTTTGTTTGGAAAAATAAATTTGTGATTCTGAAATTGGAAAATCACTCCTGTAAAAAGACAATGTTAAAGGAGGAAGTTTTCATTCAATATGTCCTTTATCTACTTTAAGTTTGTATAATGTTGAATTTCTGTTGTATATTATGGATTCTCTCTAAAAGAACTCCAACATTGTGTATGCTGCCATTTCTTATTATCCTTATGTGTTTCCACATTAAGTTACATACTTAATCCATGATTTTTGTAGTTTCAATGCATGTTTGTTTGCTTTGATTTTTGAGTTACCCTGCAGTTTTTATAAGAGATATTGTGATGATTACGTGAACTTGTGAGTGATTCCCTACAACTATGACAATGTCTTCTGGAAATTCAAAGATTGATCACTCCTTTATATTTACTCGATATTTGAAGGGCTTTTTGTGGTCTTTTTTAGGAAAATTTTGATGGTTACACTAAATTATGAATGGTGTTGCTCAACTGTGAGATTACGTTCTCAAAATGCTAAGATTTGTTACTGTTATTATGTTCCATGTTTGTTAAAAAACCACTGAACCCGAAGGCTTATAGTGTGCACTTTCATGTGGAACTGTGGAACAAACACTGTCACAACAACAAATGCTAATATAACCGCTAACTTTTTTATTGTAATTTAATTAATACAATCGAGGGATTAGAACATGAGACCAATTAGTCAACTTGGTTATAATACCTTTTTAAGAATTTGGTTTAACTCAAAAGCCTAAGTTGACAGGTAACTGGCTCAACTATGGTATTTAAGCACTAATACTGAGATTAACTATACATGGGAGTAGCTGCAAAGGCAATCTAGTTTTGGTTAGGAATCCGGAGGCATGGACAAGGCAAGCTCGATAGGCAATTTTACATGCTCGAGAGAATCTAAAGGATGATTTCATTCCATGTTATGGATGCTTAAATTATGATATTCTTTATGCTTGTCTGAGCTGCTGTTCAAATAACTAAGATTTGGTGGACAATATGTCTGTTATCAATCTTTCTGCTTTACCAAATCTTTAGCTTACAATTGACATTGTTCACCCTTCTGTTTCACTTTGTTCTGTAATTGTGCTTGGATCATTAACAGTCATGCTCTTACTTTCTGCTCGATTTTTATCTTCAGTGACAAACAAAAGATGGCATCTGAGCTTGTTAATTCTGCAACGAGTGAGAAACTTTCTGAAGTGGATTGGGCAAAAAATATTGAAATTTGTGAATTAGTTGCTTGTGACCACAGGTATAACTTGTGGAACACTTTCTCGCTTTTTTTTAATCAGAAATGAATACATATAATGTTTATGTATGGTTTTGGTTCATTCTCATTTTTGCCTATTTATTTTCAACTGGTTTTGTTGATGAAATAGGTTTGGTTACAAGAGCTCAGGCTGAGTTTATACTGTGCCTCAGCTTGTAATATCTTTCCTAGCTTGGTTTTTTGAACTTTTGAGTATCATGCAAATAATTTTGTTATAAAGCTGTCTAAAGCAAAAATGTTCATCTTTATGTTGCGCAGTTTTGTGGTTACGCATGCTTGCTCTGGTTTTTGGACAACCAAATATCCAATTTCTCTTGTTGAGTTGTTATTGTAATTTCCTTGACATGGTTTTGTGGTTTCTTACAATTCAGGCAAGCTAAAGATGTGATCAAAGCCATCAAAAAACGCTTGGGGAGCAAAAACTCAAACACTCAATTATATGCAGTTATGGTGAGCTCTTGCTTTTTGTTTTGCTATATTCGTGGAGCCTTGATATTTTTTTTCCTTTTTATAGGAAGTAACATTATGGCACTGCAATGGCTGCATGATTTTCTTCCTAACATCTGGTTATCAAAACTTCAGAATAAACCTTGTAGAGTTCTGCTCTTCTATGGCTTATTATCACCTCTTTCATTATTATATGATTTTGCAGTTGTTAGAGATGTTGATGAACAACATTGGAGAACATATTCATAAACAGGTGATTGATGCAGGGATTCTCCCTATTCTTGTGAAGATAGTGAAGAAAAAGGTGCAAACTTGTTCTCTCATGCACAATTGTTGACCTCTGATTATTTCACATTGTTATTATTTAATTTCCTTTTCTTTCTTTTGTTACAGTCAGATATGCCAGTACGAGAGAGGGTATTCCTTCTTCTAGATGCCACACAGACCTCTCTTGGCGGTGCTTCTGGAAAGTTCCCCCAATACTATAATGCTTATTATGAATTGGTGGTGGGTACAGACATGAAACTTGTGTAAACCTGTATTCTTACTGTTCAAGAAATGGAACATGTGTGCTCCATAGAGTTTTCACTTTAATATATTTTTAGTTCAAATATGGTGAGAATAATCGTAAGTATATTGTACAAGCTTGAAAGCATATCTGTACTAATGCATAATTTTAAGAAGCTAAAATGGATATTTATGTGTTTTAATCATTCATAATTTTTTTTTTTTAATTTCTAGTATTGCAATATGCTATTTTGTTTTTATGTGGCTTATTAAAGAAATTCA